TGCCCTGGCTATAAATAGAGATGCAGGGCTCTGGACGCTGGGCGCCGAGGGTGCCGTACCTGGCCTCGAGCCGTGGCCTGCAAGGCCTGCACCGCGCCCACAGCCTCACGGACCAAGACCAAATACTACTAAAGTCGGACCCCACAGTACCACAACCTTCAAAATAATAAGAATAAAAAAGTCTCCCAAAGGGATGGGAGGAATCTATTAAGAATAGGATGCTGTTGTCAATAGTCCAAGATTTATATGGCATCCGAGAGGATGATGAACATCATCATCAGCCGTGAGGGACTTCCCCGCTTGGAACGGTCTGGCACACTACTACTGCAATGCCCGCGGGAAACCGTATATAGGTTTGAAAACAGATCGTTTTATACCGACTTATCGCGGTCTTGTGTCGGTCCGGCTGTGTTGACTGTGCGCCCCGCCGACACAGACCGGCGCGCGGCGCGCGGCGGGCGTCTGTGTCTCCTTCTCCCCCCTACCCCCCAATAAAGATAATCAATTACAACACATCCCACCCCCGCCACACACACAGAGGGACGCACCACCAAAGGGGCGCCCCGCCGACCGCCACAAAGCCATCCGTACATTTCGGACACTGCGTTCACGTACATTACGTGCATTTACTGTCCATATCACATTACTTTGCATTAAACTGCATTACATGTGTAAGGTGCATTAATGTGCATCACGTGCGTATCGTGCTTTTAATTGCATTATATGTTAAGGTGCATTAAAGTGCATCACGTGCATAACGTGCTTTAATTAAATTAATTTAAATTGCATATGTCGTGTACGGTGCATTAAAATGCGTCACATGCGTTACGTGCGTTACGTGCATAAAGTGCATTAAATGTGTAAGGTGCATTAAAGTACAGTGCATTACGTGCGTAACGTGCATAAAGTGGATTACATGTGTAAGGTGCATTAAAGTAAAGTGCGTAACGTGCATGTGAATTGCGCGCATGTGAAGTAAAGTAACGCCACGCACGCCACACGGAGCGACAGAGACGAAACCAAATCAGCCCGAGCGCGCGCAGGTGTCTTTATCGGAGGGTCGGATCGCAGCCACGCCTTTCTAGGCCCTTCGTACTTACCCCACCCCGCTCCACCCCTCCCCGCTACTCCCCCCGGCACGCCACAGGCCTAGGGGGCCCCGACTGCATCGCTTCTGATCGGATGCGCTCATGACTCATGAAAGCCACTGGAGCGCGGCCATGCTCCCCGATAAGGCCATGAGGGGGGCTTATTATTTTCACTCGGAATGCCTCATAGTGCGGAAGATATTACAATTATGGGGGCAAGTCGAAGGCATTTTGGCGTCAAAACCGCACCGACGGGGAGTATTGTTTGTTTTGTTTCGTCGTTTTCACGAGGCGAAGAAATGTGCGCACTTATCGTATAGGCAGGCACAGACCGGCCATATACTGGCATAATTTGTCACGTAAATTTCTACAAGAGGTATAATTCACATGAAAATATTAAAAATCTCACGCTTAATGGCTTTGTAACTTTTATTTGCACGAATTTCAACAATAAAATTTTTGGCATACATTTCTGCGTTGAATCGGACACTTGTGTGCATCAAGCATTTTTGCGCACAAATGTGTCCGAAACGAAACGTTAGGTTTCACTTAGCTCGAAACGTTCGCACAAAAACGTACAAATACTGCTGCTGCTGTGCACTCGGTGGAGCAGCAGTGAAGCCGTGAAGCGCACCCCACACGAGCGAGAGCAGCAGCCGATGCACCCGACGGAAAGTGCATACGCGTCGAGTAGCAGCATAGTGTTCAATAAAGTCGTGCCCCCCCCCCCTCCCTCCACACGACGCGTGAGCGAGTGCTGGAAAGAAATCCGAAGCGTCATCCTTGATGCAGCACTTTCCACAAAGCCAAACCAATTGTGAGCACACGAGGATACAATCCAATCGGAGATGAATTCCCGCCAGGCAAAGGATGATAGGTTCCGTCGTATACGTCCCGCGTGCACCCGCCAGGGAGCATTACTGCACACTGTCAGAAACGCCGCACCTCGACGTTTTCCAGGGAAAACATTAAAATGCCTTTGGCTTTGCCTTGGCAACTGTATCGATACCACACACGAAGGATTTTTCTCTAACGGGGTTACTGCGCGGGGCGGAGGGAAGGGCTCGCGCCAACGATGCATCGAAATGGCACACAGCGCAGCGCAAATGTATTCCGGTCGATCTCATCATCAAGGTTCGAGATCTCGACGCGTCAAGACTTCAGCGGCCTTGTCCACACGACGCGAAGGCCGCATAGTGGATTCGATTCGCGACGACGAGAAAGCGCAATAGCGTAGCAAAAGCGCCGCTAACAAAGTAAAAGAAAAAGACCTCCCCCCACATCGAGAAAAAAAAGAAAGCAGAATGAAAACGTAATTACAAGCATTTATTTGCTCGCTGCTGGGGGTATTTAGCGCATGAGTGATGTGCAAACAGTGATGACTGCGCACAACGCAATTCCTCTCATCCTATTATATTTACCGCTACTGCCAATTTGGCTCAACGAGAGTTACGTCAATGCCATCAGAGGCAGCAGGCCGGGCCGCCGGGACGGGCCCCCGGTCTTATCAAACCTACAGAGTCGTGCATCTGCAAAATTTCCGCGAGGGGGAGGGGGGGCAGGGAAGGGAAAGGGGGTGAGGGTGAGAGGCGCGGCATTTCACATGGTGTGCGAGCAAGGCTTCCATGCGGAAACACTCATTAGCTGATAAATGCATGGGACTTCCCTCTGCTCTCTCTCACACACACACACACGTGCTCGTCGCGCACACGACACACACCAATAAATTAATTACTTTGTTGCGTGTGTGTGACACCACTAAAGCCCCGTGCGAGGCTCGTGCCGGACACAAGCTATATTTGTATTTTGTAAAATAATCTCGTTTAACTGTACTCGACTAATGTCACATATATACCCGCGTCGCACACACACATTCGGACTTTCGATTGCCAAACACCTTTCGCCTCTCGTCATCCTCATCATCATCATTATCACCACCATCGCCCCCGCCATAGGCTAAAAGAGCACCGCTTTGTCGGCGATGATTCGCCCGATAAAATGATCATCGCGCGTGATCGCCCCCGCGCTGTTAGCCTCCCCAACCGCTGCCCCCACTTCCCCTCCTCCCCCTCGCCCTCCTTTCTCCCCGCGTTTGACTGGCTTATCCGCGGCTAGTTACCCGCGCCATATGGTATGGTCAACTTGGGGTTCATCATCTCCTCCAGCAGCGTTTGTGGAGAGGTGTGGGAGGGGGAGCGAGGGGGAGGGGACTGATGTTGCGGTGCCCGCGATCTCGCGCAGGCGACCGGCCGGCTGCTCAGCCAGGCTAGAGCTGGGCTGGGTCAGCCGGCTGCCCGACCGGCCTGCTTCTCTGGAGGTTGGGATACTTTGAGATACTTATGAGAAATTATGTCGGCCTTTCCCTCCGCGCGCACTCACGCGCTACACCTTCCTGCAGTTTGTACGCCAGCTCGCTCTTTAGAGCGCCTGCCAATACGAGGGTAGGCAACCCATCCGACTTCTGTGCCCCACCCCCCTTCCCACACACAAGTAAAGGCAAAATGAACACATTTTGAGGGAATGGTCACGACCTACGAGTCGTGGTGCAGCTGGCGCCGCAATGAATTGTACTTGGGTTCGAATCCCCCCAGCAGCTCGGGGCGCCACCGGTGGTCGTAGAGGCTCCCGCGGGACTAGACAAGCACCCGCATGGGCTCCACTCATAACGTTGTTTATCATTGTAGACGACCTCGTTGTCCGCACCGTCGTGCGTGTCGCGACCTCCCCACAACCTCTCCTCCCTCCTCCCCCCTCTCGTCCTACTTAAAAAAAAGAAATTATCATGTCTGATTCTTAAAAATAAAATATTGATTTCTGTCTTTTTTTAAAACTGAGCAATAGGTTCAAACTTTTTGAAATCCCTACACCGGAGTAGTAAGTCAGAGAAAAGGCGAAACAGATAGATTTTCTTTCAAAAACGTCGCGCAGGCGACCGGCTGCCCGGCTGGGCTGGGCGGACTAGGCTGTCAAATTGATTACCGCAGCACAGTAAATTTACCGAGCAAACACTAGCAGACCCCAGAAAACAAGATTTAATAAAGTAAAACATGAGTGTGCTGCAGGTAACATAAACAATTAGGAAATGTCAAGCCAAATAAAAGTAACCTGAAAAATAGTTGTCACTCAAGGAGTCACAGCACAATCGGATGAACAGGATTCTGTTCAAGTGTAGTTTGAGCGCTACAGCGAACAGCTAAATAACAGAAAGTACGACCAGCACAAAGAATTGCTACATTTAGCTTGATAACAGGCCATTCGGTCGTTTCAACGAAGTAAGTTGAAGGGGCAAGGGTTGAGGTTAGGTCAGCAGACTTTATCTCTTCCTCTGTCTGAAAACTTACCGCAACTCGCGACGGTACACCTGAGTGTAGACGATGATTTGCCGAGTACGATTGACACCAAATTCAAACACCATAACGAACATACCACCGTTAAAAGTTTATCTTTTTTCACAAACACACACTACGCGAGCTACACAGACAGGTGACGCGACGAGGACTGGCGGCGGACTGGCGGACGGGGCAAGAAGTGCCAACTGTGGCAACCAAAACGTACTCATCATAAACATGAATTTCATTTGAAATTCTTCTTTGTAATTGTGATATTTGCGTGTGCGCAACGCGGTTACAGAATGAACCTCAATCATACTAAATCATAGAAAGAAAATGATCGAAATAAAAAATTGATGTAAATCTACAGTTGTGAAGTGGTTCACGTCGATGATTTCTCATCACAGAAGGGAAGGCCCCCGGTCTTGGCTCCGCTGAGCTCCCCTCGGCCACCCAGCCCGCTCGGGCCCCGACCGCCGAAGGGCCTTGGCGCGGCCGGGGCCGAGGGCCAGCAGCCGGCCGGCCGGGCCGGCCGCGGGTCTACCGGGGCAACAGATGCGTAGACGATAAGGGCCTAACTTACCTTGAGGAGCAGGTGCAGGGGCGGGCTGATGGTGGGCTTCTTGCGCGCCGGCTGCGGGGACAGGCAGGACTTGAGCCACGGCATGGCGGAGCTGCTCCGGTCCGCTCTGTGGTCCTGCAGGCACAAGGCAGAAAAACATCCCCGTCAAGCACAACAAGAAGAAGCAGCAGGGGCAGGAGGAGACACCAACGCCGCCGCCGTCACTGATGATGACCTCAACTACTTTGACCTGCAGACGCTAAAGGAGAGTCCGGAGGGGTGTGTGGTCGTGATGCATGCGCCCTTATCTGCGGGAGGGGAGGGGGGGGGCAAGGCGGCACCTTTCACACACACACACACACACACACACACACACACACACACACGGTGCATTACCGCTGCACCGCACACACCGTGTGTGTGTGTTATAAACGCACGGACACGGCCAACTCTGCGTGAAATGGGATGTGAGTTCATTGGAGCGTGGCCGTGATCCCCATACTAGCGCTTGCTCTCTTATTGTGTGTGACGCTGTTGCATCTGCATCGGGCTGGCTGTGGCTGTTGGGCCCGCCGGAGGCCGCCCCTGCTGGGGCAGAGCAAGCACCCAACCGCCCGTAATCCCACGGCTCATAAAAATAACTCGCGCGCATTTACTCGCGTGCGTGTGTGTGTGTGTGTGTGTATCTGTTGTTTTATTTGCCTGGTGAACTTATGTATCGCGCAAAAAGAGCGGCGTGTATCCCGCGCACGGCACGGTCCAGCACAAGGAAAGAACCAAAAAAACAAAACAAATCTCAATGGAAAGTAAATGCGCGAATCTCGACCCTCCTTACAAACGAGACCGTAACGAGTAACGATAGTCCTTCTAAAACCGAAATGATCGCACATCTCCAGCCTCCACCAAAAAAAAGTATGAATAAAAACGTATTTTATTGACAGGGTACGCCGGTTACAGGACCATTGAGTTCGGAGGCAGGTATAGACCAACGACGCCGTGCTTCATGAATCGCGTCGAATTGCGTCACGCTGTTGAAGGCGGGGCGGGGCGCGGTGGGGCGTGGTGGGGTAG